TTGCAGACCCTGGGGGACCTAGGTTACCGAGCCTCAGCCAAGAAAGCTCAAATCTGCAAGCCTGAGGTGACATACCTAGGGTATCTGTTAAAAGACGGGCAACGCTGGCTAACACAGGCCAGAAAAGAAGCAGTTTTAAACATCCCTGTATCCCAGACCCCAAGGCAAATGGAGTTTCTGGCTGGCTTTTGCAGGCTGTGGATACCTGGGTTTGCTTAATTAGCCAGGCTTCTGTATGAAGGCATGGAAGAAACTCAGCCCTTCCAGTGGACCATGGAGATGTGCAGAGCCTTCGATCAAATTAAGACTGCATTGCTGTCTGCACCTGCTCTAGGGCTACCTGATGTCATGAAACCATTCTATCTGTACATTGATGAGTGCAAGGGGATTGCCAAAGGGGTCCTGACCCAGTGTCTGGGTCCCTGGAAGAAGCCACTGGCCTACTTGTCAAAAAGGCTGGACCCTGTGGCAGCTGGCTGGCCACCTTGCTTGAGGATGATAGCTGTTGCCACTGCCCTAATGGTTAAAGATGCTGACAAACTAACCTTAGGACAAGAGCTATATATCACCACCCCCCATGCCATCGAGGGAATCCTGAAGCAACACCCGGACCCATGGCTAAGCAATGCCTGGCTCACCCATTATCAAGGACTGTTACTTAACCCTCTCAGAATCACCTTCCAGGCACCCTCAGCTCTCAATCCCGTGACCCTGCTACCCAACCCCAACTTGGAGCCTCCCTTCCATAACTGTGCACAGATCCTAGCACAGGTCCACAGCATCAGAGAAGACCTCAAGGACCAGCCATTGCCAGATTTGGAGCTTATCTGGTTTACAGATGGGAGCAGCTTCATTCAACAAGGTCAGAGAGATGCAGGTGCAACAGTGGTAACAGAGACTGAAGTGGTATTGGCTGAGCCCCTCCCAATGGGAACATCAGCCCAAAGAGCTGAACTGATAGCCTTGATCCAAGCACTAACTCTGGTAAAAGACAAAAAGCTGATTATGTACACCGATAGCCGGTATGCTTTTGCCACGGCCCACATACATGGCGCCATCTATAAGGAAAGAGGGCTACTGACAGCCAAGGGAAAGACTATAAAAAATAAAGAAGAGATATTGGCCCTCATTACTGCCCTATGGTTGCCTAAGAAATTGGCTACTGTCCACCATCCAGGACATCAGAAACCTAAGGACATGGTATCCTGAGAGAACGATCTGGTGGATAAAACTGTTCAGGGACTAGCCATGCAAAGAGAGACTGTGATGATAGCCAACCTGCCTGACCTGGGACCCTGAAGCCTACCAGAAATGCCATAATATTCCAAGGAGGACTTAGAGTGGATTAAAGAACTGCTATGACTCAGTGCCTTAATGGAAGGTGGTGAGATTCCCGATGTCATGTGTTAATACCTGAAACCTTAGGCAACAGAATTTTACAAAAAAAATGCATCACTCTACCCACATGCATGAGAGAAAGACACAGGACCTACTAAGGCATGCTAAGATAAAGATTAAAAATGCAAATTCCAAGATCCAGCAGATTATTGCTACCTGTAAGGCCTGCCAGCTAAAGAATGTGGGCCACAGCACAACCAACCCTGGGAATTGGGTAAGAGGAGATAGACTAGGAGCCTAACAATTGATTAGGTAAGGAAACTCCTTGTAATAACCCCCTACACACACACACACACACACACACACACACACACACACACACACACACACTCACAGAGAAGTGATTTGTGTATGTATTGGATGTGTCTCCCATTGGTTCTCTTGAGAGGCTCATTACTATAAATACATTCCATGGGCTTCCTTGGTCTCTGATTTCTGGTGGTAGATTAGAGGAAGGAAAATGATTTTATAGAGGATTTATCCCTATTTACTTATTGTCTTGCCCTGACACCTTTCCTGCAGGTTGCCACAGTCTAATTTGTGTACCTTGACCATGTCATAGTGTCCCTGAGGTTGCCCTACATACACAACTTTCCCTCCTCATTGCTTTAGGCCTGGAAGTGGTTACCACCTCTCTGCAATGTTATTGGCCCCAAGGTAAGACATGATGTTCTGTTAGTTCTCTATACCATGCTCTCAGGTTTGTTCATAACCCCTTTATTAAGTGTTTCTAAAATTATTGTGCTTTATCATGCTTCTTATTTCTTGCAAAAGCCTTAAAAGCTTATTTTAATTAGAATTATTATTTAGAAAATAATGGAAAGCATTGTAGGACAATATTTTTGGGAGATTTTAAAGGGCATTTTTAATATGTAACAAGTAATTTCAAAAGTATGAGTACATATCAACAAAGCTTAGTTATTTAGGATTTACTTTTGTAAAAGCATGGCAAATATTAATGTTATATTTGCAATTTAAATATTATATCATAAATAAAAACATGAATCATTCAAAGTTAACACTGATATACCACACCCAACTTGGATTTAGATCCTGAGAATTTTATATTTTATAGAATGAAATTTTCAGTTTTGATAATGCTTATATCGTATTATTTCTTATTATTTCTACCAAATATTTATGAAATTTAAGATTGGTATTAAAAGTATTTATTTCTTTTCTTGAATATTCTAAACATGCCAGTTTGGATTAACCTTCAAATTTTAAGGGCATAAAAGATATACAAATAGAGTACATGTTTTAACACAGTATAATTCTGTTTACAATTATGACAAAATAACTTTGATTTTTTACACATTAAAAAAAAATCTTAAGGGGATGGGGATGTGGCTCAAGCAGTAGCGCGCCCATCTGGCATGCGTGCGGCCCGGGTTCGATCCTCAGCACCACATACAAACAAAGACGTTGTGTCTGCCGGAAACTAAGAAATAAAATATTTAAAAAAAAATCTTAAGAGAACAAAGGGTATTTTGGGTCAAGTTATTTCTTAGTACAAATTAATATATCATATACCAATCAGTTTTTCAGCCAACAGCATTAAAAAATTTCCATTATTAAAACTTACAGAAACAAAACTCAAAGTATTCCAACACCTAAAAAAAGAAATAAGAAATTTGCAAATTAAAAAATTTTAAATGTTGCTTAGAAAATGTTTATGCCTTTCTTCTACTCTCAAATTCATTTTTACTGCATGACATACATAATTCTATATTTAAAAAGACTGTAGCCAAATTATTTAATAATATTTATAGAATGTTACCTCTCTGGGTAGACATGTTTCACAAAATAGTTTTTAATTAAGAAGAAATCACTTGATAGTTTTAATCACAATTTATGATTGATTGATAAGTGGATTAACAATCTATTCAGTAATTTAGACCAATACAAGGAATAATCTGATAAATGCTCATTGTGCAATTCTGTCAACTGGTCAAGCCAAGAATTTTGACAGATATTTCACTCAGTTGGATTACATATTTCTTTGTGTTATTGATCAAGAAAAGTGGGTATACAATGTCAAGCTTTTTCCTGTTATTTTTTTAAGAGCAGCTCAATGATTGGGGGAGGGGTGACGTTGGTTAGTACAATACAGAGAACATACTGGGAAAGTATGATACTTAACATCAATGCCAGTATTTATCTCATTAGGGTAATAACTAAGGATGTTACTAATTTTTGCATTATTTGCTTTTTAAAAATAAATAAATGCCATTAACTTGAACTTGAGCTATATACATAATACATACATGACCTTAAACAAAATAATTCTTTTTCATAAGTAATGTGACATTCAAAATACTGGAAACAGTATCTGTGCTGATATGTATTTTGACTTAGTGGAACAAGAAGAAAATAACATTCAATTGGGAAGGGAAATACTGATAATAAAGTTCTTAAAGTTCAAAACTTCCCCTCCCTTTGTATTTACTACAGCCTGTACATTGTCCTGAGAAGATTCATTATGAAAAATGTCAATCACAGCTTTAATAAAGTACTTTGGAAGGAACTAGTGAGAAAGCAAATTAGAAGGCGAGGCTTCATCTTGTTTTCAAATAAGTGGTCTTAATTTTTCTTCTTATAGAAAAAAAATTGAAATCAGTTTATTATAAATATATCTAAACCATTAATTTTTTGCAGCTTTCAGGTAAAATCCAGCACATTGTTTATACAAAGCCTATGAGAAGAGGTTAGTAGAGATCATCTAATCTTCTAATCTAAAATTATGACATCATCCATTCAAGTTGTTGGCGTAATCCCTTGCCCATAAAAGCACAGCATGCCTGGATGCTGTTCTGATGATCTTTAATAGAAGTTAGCTTTAAAAACTGGAAAATTTCTGCTACACTCATGCATTCTTTAACATCTTGTTTATTAGCAAAGATCAGTAATCTTGGAGGTCCTCATGTGCTAACATTTTGTAGAGGAGTTCTCTAATTATAGAAATCCCCTCTCTGTCTGTACTGCCCACAACTACTATTACAAACTTCATGTTAGTATAATAAGTATTCCAGGAAGAAAGAAGAGATTCTTGGTCACCAATATCCTACATTAGGAAACAAGTATTATCAATCACTATCTCTTCTACATTACTTCCTGTTGTAGGGGATGTATGTACAACTTCATTTAGAATATTTGTAAAGGATGATACTTTTTCCTGCATTAGCCAATCCAACAAGGATAACTTTGTGCTCCTGATGGTTGAACAGTCTTGATATCCTGGTGAAGAGAATTCCCATTCTCAGGCAGTGGACCTCCTCCAGCCACCCAGGCCACCTGGCTTCCCCTGGCTCAGGCTAAAGGGTAGAGAGACATGCACTGGAGCCTCTGCTTCTGCTGCTGTTGCTGTTCCCACACTGGCCACCAGCTCGCTTCCAGGGAATGGGAGGGAGGCCAAAACCCAGGCCGTCCTGCCATTCTTGAGGTCCGGCTGCTGCTGATGCTGCTGCGTGCTGATACCGCTGAGGCACTTGCCTGGCTTGTGGACACTGCTACTGAGTTGTCTGTGACCAAATCTTGGGCCACTGTTATCCCCCAGCTCCTCCCAGCCGGCCGCTTTAGGATATATATATATATATATATATATATATATATATATATATATATATATATAATTAAATATTCATTTTTTTTAGTTGTAGTTGGGCACAATACCTTTATTTATTTATTTTAATATGGTGCTGAGGATCAAACCCAGGGACTTGGCATGTGGTAGATGAATTCTCTACTGCTGATCCACAACCCCAGCCCTAGGACTATATTTTTAATAAACTTTATGTGGAGAAATTTTTAAAGATAATATTTTTAAAAATATATTTTTATTCTGATTATACATGAGAGTAGAATGCATTTTGACACATCATATAAAATGGAGTATAACTTCTCATTCGTCTATACATGATATAGAGTTACACAGGTTGTGTAATCATATATGTACATAGGGTAATGTCTAATTAATTCTATCATTCCTACCCCCATGCCCCCTCCCCTCCCTTCATTCCCCTCTGTCTAATCCAAAGTACCTCTATTCACCCACCCCCATTATTGTGAATTAGCATCCACATATCAGAGAAAACACTTGGCCTATGTTGATTTGGGATTGGCATATTTCACTTAGTATGATATTCTCCTATTCCATCCATCTATTGGCAAATGCCATAATTTAATTCTTCTTTAAGGCTGAGTGATATTCCACGTTTATATATACCACATTTTCTTTATTCATCTGTGGAAGGGCACCTGGGTTAGTTCCATTGTTTAGCTATTGTGAATTGAGCTGCTGTAAACATTGATGTGGCTGTGTCCCTCTATAATATTCTAATTTGTAGATCTTTTGGATATATACCAAGGAGTGGGATAGCTGAGTTATATGGTAGTCCCATTCCTAGGCTCTTTTTATTTTTTTGTACCAAGGATTGAACCCAGGGACACTTAAGCATTGAGTCACATTCCCACTTTTAATTTTTTATAAAAATTTTGAACCTGGCACAGTGGTGCTTGCCTGTAATCCCAGTGACATGGGAGGCTGAAGCAGGAAGCTTGAGAATTCAAAGCCAGCTTCAGCAATTTAGCAAGGCCCTAAGCAATTTAGTGAGACCCTGTCTGTAAATAAAATATAAAAAGACTGGGGATGTGGTTCAGTGGTTAAGTACCCTGGGTTCAATTTCCTGTACCAAAAAAAAAAAAATCACTTTAAAAAAAAAAAGTCTTTGAGACAGGGTCTTGCTAACTTGCTTAGGTCCTCATTAAATTTCTGAGGCTAGCCTTGAATTTGGAATCATCCTGCTTCAGCC